ATCATTGTACGGGTGAGTTTTGCACAGGCTACATCACATACATTTTTTTCATACTAGTTGCATGTGGTTTTTTTTTTTTTACTTTTTTTTTTTTTAATGAGTTACAATATCTAATATGCAGTATTCAGTTCATCAGTAAAAAATCTAAAGGTGCTCTGAAATATTATACCCTTAAAATATTCAAATGTTTTTGAATTTTACTTGTGCAAGCTCATGTTTTTCATTAAGTGTTAAACACATCAGCATCCACCTCCCTTGAGTGCTTCAAACTCCAATGCCAATGTGATTGTGAGTGAGCACTTGCCTCCGAGAACAGCATCCGTCTCTCTGCAGCAGCCACGGCTGTTCACTCTTTGAGGAGTCAGCAGCTGTTTAAAGTGCCGCCTCTTTGCTGTAGGCCTGTGTTTTCTGCGCCATTAAGTCCTGCCACAGCTCTAATGATTGAGAGAGACGTGCATGTCATTCCTTGAGGGAACTCCATCTTCCCCCAGCACATCTTCAGTCAAGTCATGTCGTATGGACGTGTGTTTGTCTCTAAGGGTGCTTTCACAGCTTTTGGTTCTGAACAGAGTTTGTTTGATGTCAGAGTTTGGTCCTTTTGGTTAGTGTGAAAGTGGATTTTTTAATTTGAGGGGTGAATGAATGAACTACAGCAAGTGAACGGCAATATGGTTCACCTTTGGGGTAGATGTGATCCAAACCAGTACTTATTCAAAGAACCAGTTCTTATTTTACCCTTGCACTGCAAACAAGCTGAGATGGTCTCCAAAATGTGTGCAGCACTTCATTCACGATTGAGGCGAGTGGAGCTCCTGAATGAGGTTTTGCCGACAGTTACGAGGTTTGGTCACAAACTCTAGTATAAAGCTATTTAGTATAATGTTCTATTTAAGTTCTGGTAGAAAGTATAGGCAAAAAAAAAAAAAAAAAACATTACGGTAACTTGTATTTTTTCTAACCAAACCGTTTTCGGAACTGTAATGTTACAGAAGGAACACAGAACTGAAACTTTACAAAATACTGATTCTGCTCTGAGTGAACCCACCAATACTACAACTGAAAACTATAATTTTATTGCTAATAACCAATAATTTGCCATTCTGATGCAGCGATGACATCAAAACCAAGTCTAATTTGCTGTTGGTTCCTTTGTCATTTTATAATGGGGTTTTTCAATTTATGAGTTAAATAATGCCTGTGCTTGGTAAACATAACTTGACGATATTTAAAAAAAAAAGTTGTACAATGTAAATTACAGACACTGAAAAAATGAATTTTAAAACAGTTCTGTTTATTTTTTGAAAATGTATGTTTCTAATAGTAGCTAGATAAGACCGTTTGGGGTATGAGAGTGTGCAGCGTACGTTGTAGAACAAAACGTTAAAGTATTGTCAAGTTTACCACAGTTGTTTACCACAGGCTTTATTTTACTCATAAATTGAAAAACCCCATTATAAAACCCTATAGAAAAATCTTGAAGAAACCAGCGGCGAATATAGTCTTCCGGGTTCTGACTACATTCCTGCACCACTCTGTTGCGATTCTGTACTATTAAGTCGAAATAAAAATCTAAAATCAATTGTTTAATATTTACTATTATGTATAGAATGGAAAATGAACATTCATTTTGAGATTGGCATATGATTTGTTTTCAAATATGCACATCCAATATCCACTAATATTGATAAATGAAATTAATATCAGCCTCCTTGTCTCTTAAACATGTCTTGTTGGGCTACTCTGCTCTTGATGCAAGATAGCAATTTTACATAGTATGCTCTCTTAAGGACCTGTTTAATAAGATCTTACCAGAAAACTTTTGACAATTGGTTTCATATGTACATTTATGTCATTTTAATCTGTTGTATTTATTATTTTATTTTTATTTTTTCTATTTAATAAAAAGCCTCGGCTGCTGACATAGCATTGCAATCTCAACTACCTACCGACCTCTAATATCAGCCTATAACCTATGTTGAGCAAATGTGTACATCTTAACACTGAGTTTTAGACTGATACAGTGACATTTATTCTTAATAAGCATGTGTGTATGAGAGCATCTGTATACACGTTCGAGCATGTAAATGTGTGTGTGTGTGCCCGCCTGTGTGCGTTATCTTTATGCAACTCTGTGTGTTTATCTAAGTGAAGGCATTATGGACCCTCATGGCCCAGTGCTGGCAGTATATGAGTTGCAGAGGAAAAAGCTTATCCACAATAGATCAACCCTGAATTACCATCTTCTCTCACATCTGGGCTTTTGTTCACCTTTTCCAAACTGCCAGAAATGATTGAGCTTCTTTCACTGTTTCCCCTCCCCTTTTCATGCTCTTTTTCTAAAAAAAAAAAAAAAAAAAAGCTTCCTTTTGTTAAACCACACAAAGACTGTTTAATAGTTTGGAAATCTAAGATAGTCAGCCGAACAAGGGTGAATAGGGCAAAAGTTCAGATGGGAGAATAAGCACTTTTTGAACAGCGTACAGAAATTAAATCCTCTCTTGTTTCAATACTGTTTTACACTTGACAGACGCGTGTGGGTTTTTTTTTTTCCCCCTTGTGTCACCGCCAGAGTGTAGGAAACTTCTTGTTTGGCAACTTTGTGAAAGTTTCATAAATGTCATTCTTATCCAATGTGTGCCCTTCTTTAAGAACCCACTTCAGTTTAAGCTGGTTTTCGCTGTCTTCCAGCATGACCAGCTGTAAATCCCTCTAAAACCAGCAAACCAGGATAGGCTATAGGTCAAATTTTGTGTTAAAAATTAAACCTATTTTGATAGATAATTCTTCAACGTCATAAAACCGTAGTGAAGATGCACTGTATATTAAAAGTACACAAACTCCATTTACTTATTTCATTATTTAGTTTTTATCTGCGTATTTAAAGGCCTGATTGTCTGTATTACAGAGTGTTTACTGCTGGTCTAACATTAGTCTATATTAAGCGCTAATACAATGATAATCAAAGGCAACGAAGCTGTGACACAGAACATGTCCGCTCGCCGAACAGCCCCACTGCTGATTTACCGTCCCCACAAACGACCTGTCCACTCACCCGCGAGATCTTCCCTTTAATTACACCATAGATTTCCCCTGATGAACTCCCTCAGAATTAACACAGCCACGGCTAATTCCAGCCCCTCCTCTTTCACCCTCACTCGTGTATTATTGTTGTACAGAGAGCGCCGGTGCAGTTTAGCTACACAAACATTAGTATTAACGATTGGCCAGTTTGGAATTGGTGACAAACTGCAGGCGGAGCGCAAAGTTTTGTAGCCTGAAACCAATCAGGAAGTTAATGAGGAGAAAAATTACTCCTTTTCGCCAGCGCCCCTTAATTACCTCCACGCCAGAGCAGCGCAGATGAAAAAGAGGGAGGGCAGGAAGGGATGAGAGCCACAGTAAGAGCCTTTATGCTGCTTTTCTCGGGTTATGAAGGTCAGGAAAGCAGCTGAACAGGATTTGTGTGCGTTGCCCCTCCCGACACTCATAACTTTGATAGAATCTGTAGAGACTGTCATGTATTCGCTTCATATGCACATTGAGATGAGAGATGACCTGGCTCAATGCACAAACTACCATCCCGTTTTATTGGGAACTATAACATTTGTGCTGCTAGTGTTTCGGTTTTACATTTACATAGTCATTTATTTAAGCAGATGATTTGGTCTTTGGGTTAAAAATATAATAACTGTCAGGGTTTGTGATTCTAAAGGTAATTTTTAGAGAGTCTTCTTAATTCATATTTATATTAATATCATGATGCTATTTTAGTTATCGGTCTACGCACAGATGCTGCAGAAGGTCAGCACAGTACAGACTCGTCCTGCACTCATAGCTGTGTGCTCACTCAGCAGTCTGACTGGCTCAATACGCGTATCTTCAGCTTGAGTGAGTTTGCCAAAGTAGCCAGAACTTGCTGCAGTGTGAGATTTATAGAAGGCACCACTGTCTTTACTTTGTTGTAATGTTGAGAGCTGACAGCACTGCTCACACAGTTAATTGATGCTGTTTGGTTTGACTGGAGAAGCTGCTAAACTCAAGATCAGAAATACTTTGACTGTGCAAAGATTCAGCTTGTTCGCAATTCTTTTGTAAGTAAGTAAGTTGATGAGATTTTAAATGCAATTGCCCCCGAAAATACTTTTAATTACAATTACTTGAATTGCTTTCAAAGTTAGTCTATGCACACATCCAGTCAAATGTTTGGGGTTTGTAAAAAAGTTTTTTTTATTTTTTATGAATACTTTTATCCATTAGGGATGCATTAAGGATGCAAAAGTGACAGTAAAGATTTACATTATTACAAAATAATTCTGAATTTTCTATTCATCAAAGAATCCTGAAAAAATGTGTCAGTTTTTTACAAACATATCAAGCAGCACAACTGCTTTCAACATGGATAATAATTGCTACAGAAAATTCAATTTTGTCGTCACATGAATAAATTATATTTTAAATAGAGAACATTTTAAATTGTAATAATATTTCACAATATTACTGTTTTAATGTATTTTTGATCAAATAAATGCAACCTTGGTGATACTTTTAAAAACATTTAAAAATCGGACTGATCCCAAACGTTTCAATCATTTGCCCTCAAGTTTACACTTACTTACAAGTTACTTACACTCACACTTACACTTACAAGTTCACGGTTACTCTGATGGTAACCTATCCGAGTAACTACAGGTATGTACTTTTTGTCATGTTCTTGAACAATATATCTTATGTTTATGGTTGTTCACATTTCTGACAAATGCTACTTGGCTTTATATTTTGTTTCTAATGCAAAGACATTCAAACATCTTTAAGTGTGGCTTAAGTGTCCAAATACTTTTTTGGCACTATTGTACTGGGTCAGGAACCAAAAAGCTCATGTTACATGAATGCTTTGGGTGTCGTTTATCACAAATCCCATAACCAGATTATGCTCTGGCACAAAATGTCTTCAATAATAAACAAAAAACCGTTATCTGATGCCATGATGCATCCTATTTCAGCTTACTCCAGTGAAGTTCAAGACAGCTCGATGATCAACACCGAGAACAAGCTGGAGTGTGAGAGCAGCTCAGAGTCTGGAACCTTCTCCGTCGACTCCGTCATCGATGGGGCAACCAAGTAAAACACCCTCACCTGCACCAATCTCCCTTTTACAACAACTTGATTTTTTTTCTTCTAAAAGTTTAATGATTCTGTTACCTTATTGTTCAACATTTTAATGTTAATACTGATCAGGTTGATCAATGTGGTGTTATTAAACTTTGTTGGGTGATTCTTTCAGATTTTTATAGACAGAAATCAGTTTCTCAGTGATGATCAGAAATGCCGTTTACCATGTTTCACACAGTTTGATAGCTTCAGTTTGTTCACTTTGATGCTGCAGATTTTTAAGACCAAAATGAGTTACTTTCGCTTTCTAGCAGAACGCCATTGAAAGAAATGGCAGAGCAGAGCGATTTATTGTCACATGTGGGTTCAAGCTCAGTATTGCTGTCATTGGCCTAATGGATAATCTAACTTCCTTTCCATGACCTTCATGCTGCAAACTATATGAGGGCTTCTCAAGCATCTCCATAGTGTTGTGCGGGACAGTTGGGTTAGAAGAGATACTATTCAATTATGCTTCAATCTCACAGCGAACGGGTTGTTTATTTATGGCCATCACTAAAGGGCATCATTTAACTTGCTGTGCATGATCCAGCTAATGTGCAGTGCTCTTCTGAGCTTTCTTTGTATAATATGAAGCTGTGCCCTTGATTTTAATGGTGTTGGCACAGATAGTGTCCTCAGTCAAGTCACAAATAGAGGAGAAGAGGGACACACAACTTTGTCTTTCCTTTGTTACAGATGTACATTTAACTACAAATGATGTAATTTTTCAGTATCTTGAGCTGATTGAAATGAGCCATATGTTAAGTGTAATCTGGTTTTTACATTTCTTTTTTATAATGGATGGCCCTTTAATATGCTTCGACAATCAGTATATCTTTTGCACTTATTTACTTGCATACAACTTAATAGTAATGGGTATCTAGCAGAGACAAAAAAATAATTTTCTTTCTAAAAATGAATGTAAAATGTAATTATTTTTATGCATTTCCATTTTGTGATTTTGTAAGATTTTGTTAAACTAACAAAAGTTCACAGTTTGATTCATGTGTTAATTTGTTTTCCAGACGTGTAAATTGACCCGCTGTATTTTGGTGTTGGTGTAGATGTGCTCTTGTCTTCTGACACCATGATGTTACAAATATTTTTATTATCGTTATGATTATAAAACGATGCAAAAGCTCATTTGCAATCGTTGTGTGTTTATACACTCTCAAGTTCAGTGGAAATAAAATCATTATTGATGAGATATAAAACCTGAAATGAAAATTACTTGTATTTTCTTTGCTCTGCACCCTCAAAACATTCATTCGATTCTGCCCCATCTGCTGTAATCAATAACCCGACCATCTTGTTTTTTTTATTAAATGCACTTACTCTTAATTTCATCCCCCAGTGGTTTTAGTGAGAAGAATGTGGAGTTACCTATATGGCTTTGATATTATAAATCACTTCTGGAGAGCAGATTGTACAGCAGTATCGATTGATCCTGATATATCACAGAAATTTACTGTCACTTCTGTTTTCAATTAAAGATACAATCAGTCAGATAATGACTTAATTGGATTTTACAGAAGATTGAGTTTTATTGTCCCGTGCTTTACGAGTTTAGTTAAGGAAGGCCGCTTTATCATAGGCTGTCAGCGCTGGGCTCCGGCGCGCCGCCGTGTCCTTCTGTTGCTGCTCCGGGTTTGAGTTCCAGCGACAGCCTGAAAAGTGTCCGTGGATTTGTTTTCCTTGAGCTGCTATTGTGCCATCAATCACGGCGGGCGCATGATAGATAAAGCCGCCCCTGTCCCAAAGTCTCAGTGCATACTGGAGGTGCTAGACCTGCATTTTCTTAAGTCAGGGCTTTTGGATTTAAGAGAGGAAGAGGTCATCGTAAAAGTGTTTGATGACTGTACGGTCTGAAACAAGGCCCAGTTTAATCTGTAATAATACATTTATTTGAATTGAATGCGTTTTATTTCGAGGGCCCCGTAAAGAGATAAAAGAAGATTACTGGAAAGGGAATGGAAAGAAAACATTGAGAGTCAAATTTATGGAGAACATGCTGATTGTTGTTAAAATATTCCATTTAGTTATTAAAATTGCAGATTACAAAATCAAATATTTACATTCTTGCTTTGCACTTGACATACAAAAACCTGTTTAGGTGAATAGAAATAATACAAAAATATTTTGGTTACACACAGTTTTGCTCATAAGTTTACATACCCCTTGCCGAATATGCAAAATGTAAATAATTAACTAAATAAGATTATAAAAAATCTCGTTGTTTTTTTTTTTTTGGTCCTGAATAAGCTATTTCAAATAACAGATGTTTACATATATACACTCACTGGCCACTTTATTCCTGATCAACTGCTCGTTACCGCAAATATCTAATCAGCCAGTCGCAGTGCATTTAGGCATGCAGCAGAGATGGTCTTATTACTGGGACATGCGAGGGTCTGTGGCTCTAACTTGGATCACGTGAGGCACGTCATCCTATCATATAATGGCAGTGACGTCAGTATTTAGAGTTTTATTGACAGTCCGTTACAGTTTACGTTACACACAGTTTGTGGATTAGCGTGTTCGTCTTGTGAATAATTTGGTGTTATAGCCTAAACGTACTGTTCGACTGAGAAAAAAGACTGAATTGCTCTATTAGCTGCAGATTACTGGTCACTACAGTGTGCATAAAACCACATTTAAGATTAGAATGTTAATTAAAAAAAAATTATTGGGCTTACATAGCAGTAATACTAGTGACTAAAAATGTAATTGTAATTTAATAGTTTAAATCTGGAAGGATAGAAAGAATACATTTATGTATTACCATTTTTATATATATTTTTTTACCTTCATTCATTATAAAGCATTATATCATTATAAGGCATAGCAGTCAAATCATTACAATTCAAGTCTAATGTATTCGTTGAAACCTGGAAGCCATTAGAGAACCCATAATTTTTTTTTTTTTTTTTGCCACACTTTCGGCCCCTTAGTACCGAACATCCTTTAAACGCCACAGCCTGTCTGAGTATTGTTGCTGACCATCATGTCCATCCCTTTATGACCACAGTGTACCATCTTCTGATGGCTAATCCCAGCAGGATAACGCAACATCTCAAATCATCTCAAACTGGTTTCTTGAACATGACAAGGAGTTTACTATTCTCAAATGGTCTCCACAGTCACCAGATCCAATAGAGCACCTTTGGGATGTGGTCGAACCAGGCCCGGCGCCAGAGGGGGGCCTGGCCCCCACATGGACATCCCTTTGCCAATATAATAATTCATATTATATAATTTGAATAAAACTTTTGTTTTCCATGCATGACAAGCGGCCATGTAAACGCTTTAAGGCATAGGCACATCCGCATATAAATGCAGGATTCACTCTTGAAATTGCGATGACTGACAGTGATAACCATAGCAAAGGATGAGGCACAAATACCCACACTAATTTCAGAAGCACCCTCTGTGATATGATTCTGGAACTTGGCCTGGTCCAAACGCAGGGTTTTACTGCATTATAGGTAAAGCAATTGTTATTTATTATTTGTACTGGCTGCCAATGCCAAGCCAAATCACGCATTTGCTTTTCTGTTAAATTAACAGTGCTTTGTGAACGTAGATCCTTTAATAACAAATAATTTGGTAATTAGGTTGTTGCAACACATAACATGTCTTGAAACTATTTAATGGAAATATATAACCCCCCACTGGCGCCCCCGCCTGAGAAATTTAAATGTAAATATAAATCCCACCCCATGAGATTCACATCAACTGCTTGATGCTATCATGTCAATGAGACAAAAGGGGGTCTGACCCAGTTCTAGCAAGGTGTACCTAATAAAGTGGCCAGTGAGTGTATACTGTATAGTCCACAAGACAAAATAATAACTGAAGTTACACAAATGAAGCAGCTCAAAAGTTTACATATAGAATCGTAATAAGCCCACTGTTTATAGGAAAATCCTGCTGGCACATTCTTTGGTTTTCGGGAATTTTCTGTATATTTAAGCCCCTTTCCAACAGTGACTGTATGACTTTGAGATCTCAACACGATGCATTAAAGTCACCATGAAATCGAAATTGACTATTCTTTTTTTTTTTATGGAACATAAAATAACTTCCCCTTACTCTTGCAGCAACATCTCTTCTCTGATGATGTGTTTACTGGCGCGAGGGCGGGACAACCTGTCACTCACATGACATCACAGCAATATCATACCACAACCATCCAACCAATTCCCAATGGACAAAATCAAGTCCCACCCTACATTTTTTTTTTTTTTTTCGGAAACCGTTTTACTCGGATATACGTAACAATAAGGAAGAAAAGACTATTGTAACTTCCGTTTCATGCTGACTTTAAGAGCCAGGGGTGTAAACTTGATGATGTGTACATTTTTTCATATTTTGTTTATATATATTTTTTTTCATTTACTACTGCTGTTCAGAAGCTACACAAGATATTTACGTTTCCCAAAAGACTAAATAAGTACAATTTTACAATTTATACAATTCACAATTTTTTTTTTTTTTTTTTTTAATTATTAACATCTTACATATTCTGCAAGGGCTATGCAAACTTATGAGCAGAAACATTTTATTTGCCAACATGTCAATGTGACGACAACTTTTTTTTTTTTTAATGCAACTATTTTGTTTTAAATCACTTAAAAATGAAAGCCACACACCATAACTTTAAGTCTTATGACAATTTAGTACATGCCCAATTATGCCACCTGACCAGTGAATGTAATGGCCTGAACATGAAACCCTTTTTCCCAGGCACAAAAAAGTTCATAAATACAGTAACTATGCAAGAAATCCATAATGAGTCTGTTTGATTGGATTTGAAGATGTCAGCGAGTTTTACAATTACTTATTTCTTGTACTAACTTAGTTTCAATTGCACTCAATTGTATAGTTTAAGTCCCATTAGAGTGGGTTATAGAGGCAGACAACTATTTTGTTGTCTGCCTTTGTTCACATTGAGATGGAGAGGGTGTGGCGGGGAGGTGTGGGTCCTGTCAGAGTCTCAGTGATTTGAGTGCCCT